GTGTTTTTTGGTGTTGTGAGGTGGCAGAGCGACGCGGAAAGTCTGAAGCAAAGCTGCCAATTTGTCGCTGCCGCCCAGAGAAATACCTGACAGGCCAGCTGCCCTCATTGTCTGTTCGGCGACAGGAGTAAAAGTTCAGAGAGAAAAGAGAGGAGAGGAAGATGAGAGAAAGAAAGAGAGAGAGGGTGAGGAAGTTAGACGGATTGAAAAAGTGAAAGAGATTTAGGGAGACAGACGGCATCAGTGAGAGAGGCAGCATATGTAATAGAGAGGAAAATGTGTTTGTGTGAGTGTAGGTGTGTGTGTGTGTGTGTGTGTGTGTGATAAACAGAGGGACAGGCAGTCAAACAGAATAGTTTAGAACAGTGATGGAGACACAAAGAAAAAGAGAGAGCACAGACAGTATATGCAAGAAGAAGAAAAGGAATGTGTGAGAGAACTGGGAAAGTTACAACAAAAATGTAATTTATTACTCAGCTTGAACAGCTAGCTTAGCCTTGGTGACTGCACGTAGCCCTCCTGCGGGGTTCTCACATGAACTTTGAACAAAACCAGGTGAATCCTGAATCTAGGCTTATAACATCCAGCATTTTCAGTGTGACCCCTATCGGCCTTCCACACTGCTTGATTAAACAGTACTTGTTTATTGTTAGAGAATGACTGTAATCATAGTTTAACCTCTTAAACATATGGAAGCCCGAACAAGACAAAAAAACTGATGATAAAAATTAAAAACAATCATGGTGAGTCCAAATTATGAAATACTAAGTCAACAATTAGATTTTATGAATCAAAATTTAATGAATTAGTCATAAAAATCAATAAAATCACAGCATGAGTTTGCAATGACGGAGTTTATATAAAAGCTCAGTTCTGCCAGGAAAGAAAATCCAGATAGAAAATTGAACTTTGACTATATAAGTCATACATTTTTAATCTATAGGTTTAAAGTATGCAATACTAAGTCATAATGTTGAGATACTAAGGGGTGCCCTAGTGGTCTAAGGTTTAATGAAACCAACATTGACTTTTGTAGGATGGGAACACAACCCAACATACACACACCCTGACCTCCTCTCTAACAGATTTTGCAGAACTACAATGTCACGCTGCTTCCAACTTTGCTTCTGAGACTGATCTGTAATAATATGGGTTGCAACAAGGTCATTTAAGGCATTCAAACAAACGCTTAAAGCCCAAATCATTTTTCCAAATCTGTTTGGCAGTGAGAATCAGCTGCCAGTGCATTCAAATGGTCAGCTCATGCAGCTAAAAATTCATGACTGAGCAGGCTGTACACATACAATCCTGTCCCTCTATGCGGACAGCCAATGTAGTAAAACCAGATCAGCATGTTGGTGCTGTTGCAAATAAGACATAGGATAGCTGCCCCCCCCCACCTCCAGCTGCTGCACCAAGCTAACATGTCTCTTACCAGTCTGTCCACAAGACAATCAATCAACCCCTGTCTATCTAACTCTAACAATCAAAGTAACAGAGATTAGTAACTAATGCTATTACTGCATTTTAATTGTAATCCCTTACACTACTCTAAGGGTAATCACAATACTGTAATATGTTGTTGCCCAACACTGGTAAGAGAAAGTGCGAGACAGGAGAGAAAGAGGACAAAAAGTAAGATCGGAGAGAGAAATTAAAGACATAAGGGTTGAGAGAGACAAAGAGAGAGAGACCTAGAAAAAGTTCAAGCGTGAGGGAGAGAGACGGCGGGAAGCAGAGCGCCAGAAAGGAAGAGAGGCATAAAAGGGGAGAGACAGGCAGACAGAGGCAGAGACAGACAGAGAGACAGACAGGAAGAGAAAGAGAAGTGAACTCTCTCTGGGATCCCAATGGAAGACACATGCCTCTGCACCCCTGGGTGTCAGAGCCACAGATCTCTGCTGCTGCCGCTGCAGCTCACCCAGCACCCAAAGCAAGAGAGAGATGCTGCGATTTGGCCCAAATACTGTATCAGACTGAGGAACAGCTTCCCTCCAACTCACCACAACAAAGACCAAACATAGAGTGTGTGTATGTGTGTGGGTGGTCGCTTCGTCTACCAGACAGAATGAATTGTACACACAGGCAGTGTTTTATTACTGCTGATAACTGCTGATTTATTCATCTTTGCTTTATTCATATTTCCTTTCAAAGTTGACAGCTATACCTGAAGTAAGACATGATACTGCTTTGGTATCAGAAGCGGAACTTTCGGCTCTGTCAGGATAATTATGCACATTACAGTTGAAAGTACTGAAGGTGTGAACTGAATGACTAGCAGAAAGAGAAAGAGAAAGCTAGAAATAATAGAGTAATAGATACAGCAGTAGATAATAGAGAATAGAACACAGGTGTGTGTGTGTGTGTGGATGCCTACCTATGATCTGGATGATCTGTGCCAGCAGGACTCCATCGGTGACGTCCTGGCTCAGGTCCTTGATGAGGCGCGGACAGCCAGACTTGGCCAGGTAGTGATTAGCCCAGTCTGTGTAAATCTGCAACGACAGAAACAAACATCCTGTAAGTGTATGTGTGAGAAACAGAGACAGTGACGAGGTGTGTGTGTGTGTGTGTGTGTGTCTGTGTGTGTGTGTGTGAGACCACTGTGAGGTTTTACAGTTTTTGGTGCAGTAGATTTATCGGCCATTTAGTTCGACTTATTCTTTAATTGAGCGTACAGCAGCATTACTAAAAGTTGAATGTCAGACATTTTGCAGCCAAACATTGTTAATAATTTTATGATCTGAGAGGATCCTCAGCTCTATTCTCCTCCCACTGGAAACCCATAATCTCCTTCTGGCATCTGACAAAGTCTAGATCTGAGAATGTGGGAGATGCAGAGATACAGTTTTAGTGGGACGTAGAGTTGATTTGTGATCTAATTTACATATTTTCTTCCATCCCCTGTGCTGACAATTGTATGCTTTACCATATTTTACTGTTAGTTCTGCTTTAGTTCTTTCCAATGTTGGATATTTGTATACTTTTGTAATACTCCCAGTACTGTGCATTAGTGACCAAGATTGAGGATACATATGGTATGATATTGAATCACCCTAATGGGTAAGTTTGATTTCCAAACTTTCAAAAACAACCAAAGTTGTTGGTTATTTATTGCTGAAAAGCACAAAGAGAGAAAACATCCAGATCCATAGGAAGCAAAGAGAAGGGCACATGGGTCGGTGTTGAGAAGTTAAATAACAAAATATACTGTACACTGATAGAGTAAAGGAATGATCCAAGTTTTTGGATCTGCCCTAGCTAACCTTCTATCATACAAGACATCTCAACACAAGTCAGAACAATCTTAAGACAGAATCCTTCTATGATATCATTTAAGACATTTGCTGTAACAGGTCGATTCACTCCCACAACTTTGTTTCTGAATCCGGAAGAGCAGCATGTCGGATAATCTTTTGTATTGTCACCTAAACCTCTTAACAGCCGCTTTGTATTTCATTCAGTCCATAAGCCGACTGATAAGCAATGCTTTGTCTGTCCGGCGAAAGACCGGTCTCAACAGCTGCTGCGGTTTCTCTGGGCTCCGGAGACGAAAGACGTGAATCACATTTGGGCTTGGCTTACGAATTACTGAAAGAATCAGGTTCTTTTGCGTGAAATGGTTCCCTTCTACACACTTAAACTTGAAGATAGAAGAAGCTGTCAAGGTTGAAGGGCTGTCCTCCATCTCCTATCATAAAACTTCACCTATACAGTTATTTTCCTCCAATTACCAAACTTTCTAAGGTTCACTTCCAGACCCCTCTCACTCAGAACCAAACAGACACCTGACAAACCACCACATGAACTAGAAAAGGGATCCAGTTCCTCCCACTGTGCGGAGGGTGCGTTTGATACAAATTTTTACGGACAGCCATGGAGGAACATCTTTCTCCCTGCTAGGCTTGAATTGGGATTCTGGGACCGAAAAAAATCTGAACCAGCCCATATAAAGACACTGACTGCTGCCTGGAACAAAAACATAAAAAAAGCAATACAGGCATTCGAAGGGTGATAATCCCCTCAGAAATGTAAGATCTTCAATGAGGGTGGGGGGGTTGATCACTTAAAAAGAGCCCCTCAGTAAAAATAGAATAAATTCAGATGTAAGGTTCATGTTAAAGTGGTAAAAATGTATTTTGACATTATTTTCTTGTGGTTTATGTGCTATACTTCCTGTCAGTTAAACTGCGTGATAGGACTTTAAGGTCTTTTGGATTTGGAGGCTTCTCAGCATCTTGAATGGTAGACATTTCCCAAGGAATTCCCTCATAAAACTTAACCATTTCTCATGATGAAATAATCCTTTCCCCTCATTTACCTCACACACCGCTCTCAATTAAAAGCATTTCTCTCCCGCTCTTTTCTTTTTCGTGGAAATGGGACGCTTGCTCCTTTATAGACGCCGCCTCTCAGAAGTTTGTATCTGTTGTGGTTTCCTTCTGCGACTTTCGCCATGATGAAAAGTCGTAAAGCACGAGGGCACATGCACACAAATGAACACACATAGGGCTCTCTTACACAGACACACAGAAAAACACACCGCAAATGCAAGCCACATCCCACTGGGGGGCAAGTAAACAAACAGGAGAGCGGGAGGAGGGAGAAAGTGTGTGTGAAAGAGAGAAATTAAGAGTGTATGTGAGCTGACGGTCTCATCAGGCTGCACGACATTCACCAAGGCCTGAACTCAAGCTGTTGGACAGTTAAGTTCATCAGAGACTTGGAACGAAGAGGATGGTTTGATCTGTCACGTTGTTTTAGCAGCCACCTCCCACGGCCATACATCGCTCTTTCTCTCCCCTCTTACCCTTAAAAGGGAGCAGACCAGAGGATTAACGCCTCAGCAGTAAAACAGAGGGAGATAAACTCAGCTCTACTGCCAGCAGGTTTCCATCCAAATGTTGCTCAACTTTTAACCCTATTTCCAGAAAATCTGCAAAAAGGACATGCAAATTAATGTGTTTCCATCCACTACGGTTATGCAAATATTAGGAGTTGAGTGCTTGGAGATAAACAGCTAGTGGTGCTCTCCACTCAGGTGCCATTAAACCACTGCAGAAGAAGAGGATGCAACTAGATGATGTAATTAACAGAGCATCAGCTGAACCTTAAGTGAATCAAAATGATGAGTAAAAAATATATCAAGTTTTATTCATGTATTAATTTGATGTTTTCGTCTCCTTAGTGACGAGTAAGTCACATGCTTTATATATGTCGTGATTTATTCACCATTGCATTTTGCTTTTATCAGCACACCTCCTTTTCCACCTCAGCCAAGTATAAAAACAGTAATTTTCTGCCTTTCTACTGCATTTTTTATGCGCAAATTGAAAATGCACATAAAAACAGGTGGATGGAAACACACATAATGTTTCTAGGGAAAACAGAGAGGCCTTTCAGTCACTTCCTCAACAGAGAGGAAGCAGGGAGCAGTCCAGATACCAACTGTAACAGAGGGTGCGATACCCAGCAGATGAATTCAATTTGAGTAAATTTGGGGCTAAAATAACCAGCTGCTTCTGCATCTGCTGCAGCTCCTAAAGGGATATGATTCACAGTAAACACAAATCTCCGCTGCTGTGCCCTACCTGCCTGGAGGTCAAACTATATTTGCGTTGGATTTGGACAGTTTGTCTTTTCGCTGCCTGCTGTAGTGAATTAACAGCGTTTACCACAGCGAGACAATTCAGCTCCACACAAGCTGACAATCACAAGAAAGTAAATCAAAGCGACTTTAAATCTGTGCTCTGTGCAAACACTGTTCTCTGTCTGCAAACATTGGTCGTGCTGACTGTTATAAAACCTCCACATATGAATCTGCAATAATTAAACTGGACTCTGGCTTGGACTCCAACAAGTCTTGTTCTCTTTAAAATGATCAAACACCACTCTGCCCATGAGCTGAGCCTTTTTTCTGCGGTTTAAACAGAAACCCCAGGATGGAATAAATTAGCTGAGTGAGCTGCAGTGAAATGGTTTGCTAGGCAGTCTGGACATCTAATGTGATGCTCCATCAAGGTATGACAGTTTCACTAAAACCAACAAACAACAGTGTTTACAACATACAAATAAACAAAAAAGTTAACTACAACTTCTTGGTTGTGTACAGGTGAACATTAAAATTCCATTGCAGATTTTCAAAGTCATTCAATCCCTGTTCCTTTTCTTGAAAAGCCAGTCGTGGAATATATTCATTTCGAAGAAGCCCGACTCTGTGACAGCTCACAATAACGCTGACTCACTTTCTGAGTTTGTTTTGGTTCAACCTGCCCACTGTGGAACAGTGTGTGCTCCAGAATTCTGTTTTAAACTGAAATATGTCAACTTGTGGAAGCAAAAGCCATCATGTTGGCAAACACTTTTTTAGCACTTCCACAGGGACATAATTACATTTCTAGCCAAAACCCTTCTTCGGTTGCTTTATTGCTGTATAAGCTGAGTGTGTACAATTGAACACATTTCTTTGTTTCACACAGAGATCAAACTGGACTAAGAAACTGCCAGTAGTCTAAAGAAATCAACATGTATAAAGCACAGGGGTTACCAGCGTAAAACTTTTACTGTAAAACAGCTGTAGGAAGTATCTGCCACCTAAAGCGCTACTGATGCTCAATAAAAGCTGTTCCAAATCTAGCTGTGGACACTTTTCAGAACTTGTTGGCAGGACAGTTTGAAACATTACAACGTCAATAGAGCTCAGACAAATCAATGCAAAGACAAAACAGACCCAGAACAAGTCCCAACTTCAAGATTAGTTATAGAAAGGTCTAACTGCAATGTCCTAGGTCCCAACCTTGACCTGAGAACTCTGGTCCTCTCCTCTCTTCTCTCAGAGCTTTCTGACAAACCACTGACATCAAAGAAACATTTTTAAAGAAGCCTGCCTCCTGTCTCTGCGTGAGTGCCACCGACTCACTGATCCTCTCACTTCATCCTCAGCGGTGCTCAGAGTTCAGTCTGTCAGCCTCCTGTACTCGTTAGCCTCTCCTCTCTGAATCACAATCGCTTTGGGAAGCAGAGTCGGTGCTACGACAGAGGCAAAACACCAGCAATAACGCCACCTTCAGTAGTGCTGACTGAGACTACTGACATCATAGAGACACACATGCTGGATGAGACAACACACACACACACACACACACACACACACACACACACATACATGCACATACACAATCTACAGATTCCCATGCCACTCATACACAAGCAAACACACACACACACACACACATTGAATCCCAATCCCCTTGCCCACCCTCCGTCCTCTTTCTTTCTTTCGGCTGCCAGCATCAATCAGCAGAAGTCCAGTCTCTGTGATGATGTTATCCTTATTGATGTCACATGAAGTATCTTTCTTCTCTTGCCCTCTCTTCTCCTCCTCTCTACCTGCTCTGCAGATCTCTCCACTCAGCGCCAGAGATCCCCAAAAAACAGTGCTAACAAACAGGCAGCTCTCACCCCAGAGCAGATAAACTGCCTTCAACAGTCCTGA